ATGCGATAACAAACCATTGACATACATTTGTATAACAATTAAAATACCTAAAAACTTAATCAAAGAAGTCATTTCTAAATTCTCGTCAAAAACACAATACAAGATGCACGCATATTTCAGCCAATCAAAATTCAGCACTTAAATGACGTCACAGAGGTTTGGAATTATGTCTAGTGTCTTTCTTACGCAAAACACTTTTGGTTCAGTTTGACCTTGAGCTGGCCCACTGTGCGGCGTTTGCAGAAATTGGATGTTGTCAGGTTTTGACTCAAAATACACATTTAGCCCTTCACCTGTAAAGAGGACAATGTTATCATTCATTATGTGGTACATGTTACATGTGGTGGTAATCAATGAGTGTTTGGATAGGTGAGTTAATTTTTGATGCGCTGATGTGTCTAATACAACGATATTGGTACACATTAAATGTGCTGTCAAATGGCAAAACCTGTCTAAGGAACAGATAGCCTGCTGTAGCATGACCTGATTCATCTAAACGTAAATATGATTTACATTCTGTCGTTGTATGAAACAAATGGCAGGGGTTTCTTATTCTTGCAGTGGATTTGGTAACGGATTCAACGGTTTTAATTCACTCTGTCACCTCATGAAATTCTTGCTATTGCGCTCGTTAAACATTGTTTGTCGTGAACGTGGTCGTTCGCTCATCGCATGAACGTCTGTACAACCCTCAGGTATACTCTGTTGTGAAGAAAAACAACTCGGCTACCGTTTAGGTCTTTACTATTTTGGTAACCTTGATTTATGAATTATAAGTGCTGTTTTCGGACTTGTTGCAGGTGAGCGTCTTTCTGGGGTACATAAATAGTACGCTGAACCCGTTATGTTATGCTGTTGCTGACCGGAGATTCAGGCAGACCTTCAAACAGTTACTTCGTCATCCGTGTAGAGAGGTCACCTTGAACGATACCTACCCTGGCGACAATAACAAGAATGGCACAGATCGGCCACCAGGCTAAATGGACAGGTCATTATGCATTTAAATTTGTAAAAATTATTCAGCTAAAATACGACCAACCTTGGTCACTGGTTGTCATGCTGAGGAGTTTGAACAAGGTCAAGTGCTCAACTGTAAAACAAATAGGATCAAGTTCATCTTTATTTTCAATTAACATTATTGAAAAGTCATTTCGAGATGGATGACAGAAAGGATTTCATTCACACCTTCAACGTCTGGCATTGTCGTTCCAAGTCTCTTTGTTCGTGGGCGTTCGTTTTCATATAGGAGATCTAGGATATCTATACAACGAGAATGTAACTAAACAAAAAAGGTTTGCGAGTACACCATGTGGGAAATATCTCTTTTGTGAAGCGATGTGGTTCTAAAAAGAACCGGTGAGAGCAGGTCTCGACGTTTCGGCCAGTGTACTCTGGCCTTCCTCAGGAGAGAATGGGCTAGACTCCGGATTAGCTGGCTTAAATAAGCAGCTTAGGGGCGGTGATGCGTGTGGCTTGCTGGGTACTGGAGTGTGAAGGTGTTGGATCCTGTGGTGACCGGTGAAGTGGAAA